ACCACAGGTAAATGAAAGAAAAAAAGTAAATGATATTTCAATGGCCTTCAGAGTCTTACAAAACAGATGCTTTAGGAAACCATGTTAATGACAGCCCTAGTACTTACATGGATTTGTAAGACCCCTGATAGACGTTACACTTAAAACATGATGAATTGGTTAATCACATCTAAAGTAATAACCTGGCCACACATTCAGTCAATTAATGGCAAGTTAAGATGAGGAATAAGCCACAAAGTTATTACACAAAATATCTGTTATAAGTTTGAGGCTGGTTCTGATTACACCTTTAACTGAATGTATGGCCAGTACCCAGCTTCTGGAGCTCATGGGAGCTTTTCAAGAGTCCCATGTGCTCAAGAGGCTGGGAACTTTGATCATCTAACCAGGTCTCCCAGCTGTGGGCACTCCCCTTACACTGGCAATGTGGTGCCATGAGACCTGATGCAGGACTTTCACAGTTGCACCTCCTGCCATGCACATGTGGCATGTCAGGAAAGGCAGGTGTTGGAATCTCACATTGCACTTTTACTTTAGTGGCTGTCAGAGGCTTAAGATTAACATACCCAGAAGGGCTGTACCAAATGTTTGTATTTTCATTCTGTTGGTAGATAGTCTAATGCTGTGCCCACTGTCTTAAGTCTCAGGGAAAACAATGAAGTGAAGTCACTCTGATGTTTTGTACAAATTCTGGGCACATCTACATGTGCAATCAATGCTATATAGGCTTACTGCATACAGATGGCCAGGGACCATGGTAAATTGGCCAGGTTGCTGGCCGAGCCCTCCGTTCCAACTCCCTCTCAGCCTGCTTTCTCGATCCCCTCCCCAGGCTGACCCAGGGGTGGATCCTGGTAGCAGCTGCCATGGCTGCTCTGGGCCAAGTCCCCCACTTCTACTGCAGGCTAGGCAATTTGCTGTCATGCACGCACGCACTGGCCGAGGCTGTGGGGTGCCGTGGCTGGATTGCAGAACTGGTCCCCCCATCGGACCGCTCCAGAGAAGCGGTTTGGGATAGGAACCCCCCTACATGTGGCCTGCGCCCTGAGCATGCCTTTGCTTATAGTCCTCTGGGAACACCACGACAGGCTGTTTGAGTGCACCAAGGGGTGCCTGACCCACTACACCCTGCTGCTGTTGATCACCATGGTGCCCAGGGTGCAGCTGAGAACCTTGTGCAGTGCCCTGAGCTTTGATTGTGGTTCAGGCAATCCTACACTTCCTGTAACGTGCGCTGCCGTCTGGAGGGGTACCTCTGCTATAAGTTCCTGAAGAAGAAGGAGGAGGTTGCCACTGCCATCGACTAGTTTCTCTGCATGTGACAGTACCCTGGCTGCCTAGCTGGGAGGGCACTGGCTACTCAGTAAAGTTCTGCACTGGCTCCCACATCCCTGCGTGTTGTGGGGGGAAACTCTGGGGAACAGGGGGAAGCTCAGCCACGCAGAACAAGGAGGGTAAGAGAGGGGAGGGGGTGAGACATGTTGGTGGGGAAATCATTTTTGTCATGGGCAACTGATGCCTCCTGAGTCAGAGTGGACACTTGCCCCCCCAGTAGCCAGTCTGAGACTGAGGAGGGGGGGCCCCCCACGGCTGATCATGCCGACGGTGGGGGTGGGTTGCCAGGAGCATGCCCAGAAGTGCCAGCGGCACTTTTCCTTGTGCCCCCACTCCCCGGCCAGTGCTTTCAGAGGAGGCACCCATGCTCTCACCTGCCCCAGCTCCGTCCGTCGACTGAGCGGGTGCACTAGCACTCTCAGGGGGTGCATATGCATCCCTGTGCATTCCCTATGCATCACCACTGATTTTTTTAATGACCAAAATCTTGTGCATGGATGTGCTGACCAACTACTGGATTGTCTGGGGAAGACATTTTCAGCCTCTAAGTTTTTAGGTCAGTGTGTCACCATTTTTAATTACAGACAGGTCAATGTATTGACAGATATTTACCATCCTAGCCTGAGATTCTGCTATATGTAATCTACATTTCAGAGCTGAATAATCTAGCATGCTCATGCTAGAATGCAACATCAGCAATTTTACAGTGGCTAGGGGTCAAGCAAGCTGTGCATTGTGAAATGAAAACTAAGTGCTACCTGCCAGACTTCTAGCTAGCAAGTAACATGTAATAAGTGAGTTTTCACAAGCAATTTAGAAATGGCATGTAACTGAGCAGCAGACAGAACAGAATTAGCCTTGCTCAGAACAGCGTTCTTGTACAATTAACTGCTGCCTGGCAAGACAGGATCAAGAACTGTTGCACCCATAGCAATTTTTAAGAGACTTAGGGCAAACTGCAAATGTGATTGAAGTAGAAGGCCCCCAAGCCTATTTCTGAATGAGCAAAGAATGACCCTCTGCCAATGTTTCATCTAGCCTTGTCCGCAATCTAAACAAAACCATTAACATGTTCAGATAAGCCAGTAGCGAGATTACATTAAACAGAGCAAAAGGCCCAAAAGGAGATATTATACAAGAAGTCCCTAAAGTAAATAATCTAACACACTAAAGTGTGTTGCAGCTTTAGCTTAAGAATCTTAGTAGTAAATTGATGTAACCGTATGAATTAGCTATAATAACTATACTTGTGTTAATTTCTTAGATAAGTTGTAAAAATAAATGCAGCCATATCAGTAGAGACCATAAAGCAAGGTGTAAAGTGAACAGGATGATGGCGAGCAACATTCAAAATGCAGAAGGAACAAGGAGAAATCCTGTCTACCAAAAACTGTAATTTTCATGAGGATGTAAATTTCACCTGACATCTTCCAAGACCGAAAAACTATTTCATTGAGACTTGGGAACTGGACTGAACCAAAAAAATTTAGATAACCCAATCAGAAAATGTGCGTCCCAATAAGACACGTATGTATATGGGTAGGGATCTACTTAAATTGCCATTTAGCAGATTTCGCAGAAACCACAAAATCTGGGATTGTCTGCAGAATCAACAACAAAAAAAATTAATAAAAATAAAATGCTGGCTCCCCAGTAGGAGTCAAAGGACCTCACTGCCACTGCGGCCCAGCCCTGCAGCCTGCCCCAGAGGGGAAGATGCCCACTGGCAGGGTGGCAGGAAGGGCAGCAGAAAAAATGGCTCCCAACCCCTTGCTCCACCCCTGCCGTGGGGCCTCTCTGCCAATCAGCGCTGAGGGGCGGGCCTGCTGGAGCACATCCACAAAATGTCTGCAGAATTTGCTCTTTATGCCGTGACCAAACTGCAAAAATTGGTACATCTAACTGCAGCTTAAGTAGACCCCTACATATGTGGTACAGCCTGAAAGGAGAATTGAAAAATTCAGCAAAACTGAGCAGGCTGTGTCATTCTTATCCTCCCTCCTGAGTCTCCTCAGGTAGTATAAGTGACAACTAATATTGCACTACCATGAATAGGCAGTTGGGCTGTAGACCTGCTATCTAGGTACTGCATGTTCTTAGTGAGGCTGGGCCTTGGGCAGGGACTCCAGCGTGGCGTGCTCTTGCCGCAGCTGCCAAAGCAATGACATCTGCACACAAAGTGTGGCAGATGAGTAAGGAGCAGCTGGCTCATTTCCCCACTGCAGCACAGCTTGAAATCTTAGCGTGCACAGCCAGAAATTAGCATACTTGGGCAGGCCTGCAAAACAATTTCCTTGTCTCTCCCAGGAATTACCTCACCACCCTGTCCAAGGGTGGTCTATTTAGTCTTTCCTTTGAAGAGGGTCAGTGAGCTAGGCCCCAAATATGGATGACTCATTTAATTTATTTCACCCCAGGGGCTCTTTGCAGAACTAGAACTTATGAACCTAACGCCATACTAGGTCTGACCAGAAGTCCATCTAGCCCAGTATCCTGATAGCATAAATAGCAGATGCTTCAAAGGCAGCCACATACTTATTCCTTTCTAGCCTAATAACTGCCTTACATTTCCAAGATTAACCTCCAGGAGGAAGGAGGACCAAACTATTTTATTTTAAAAATATAAATGAAAAATGAGCTGATTGCAGCACCTCATTGCTGTTAAACGCTGAATGGTATCTGCCTCCGCAGGCAAGTATACAAGTGAGAATCCCAGTCAATTCACTGTTCTCCTGAACACTACTGTTGGAATAATGGTAGCACTGAAGAGGTTAAGGACTAAACAGAATTGACCACAGGAATCCACCAGTTCTACTTGGTCAATATTTTCTGTTATCGGAGAAGGAGTTGGAGGCCATTTAAAGTGAAGGAGACCTTGGCTTCCAAATTATCCTCTTCAAAATCTGCCATGCACACACACCAGAAGCCGTATTTAAACAACAAATGTGGGTGTGACAATGTTCAGAAGAGCAAGGCAAGTAACAGTAACAGTGGGGTTGACAGAACATAAATTTTGCCTGATCACAGAATAAATAACCCTAACCGTTACCACCCCCCTCCCTCTCCAGCACATGTATAAATACCCTTAAAAAGCATTAGGAAGTCAGAGGCTTTCACAGGCTGCATCTGACAAATTAGGCTGCAGCCTGCAAAAGCTTCTTGAGTGGCCAGGCATTCAGCAGGTATTGAACTCAGCTGCCGAGTGACAGGTTGGACAGCTGAGTGAACAATTTATTCACAGAGCTTAGACATCTTCCTTGAATGCTAACTGGTACAAGGAATGACTACTGCAATATTTAATGTTGCTGAAATCTTTTTTATGAAAAAATGTCATCCTAAGATTCCCTAATTGAGCGCCAAGTGCGGTATTCTATCAAGCCTTCCATATTCTTAATGTGTGACTGGTCCCCTATATCACATGGTATACTGTTTCAGTTCCTTGACCTTATAAATTGCTAGATACATTGATTGCTAAACTGCTTTTGCTGGAAATTAATTTGGTTTATTAACTAAAGAAATGTTATTCCGTGATCAGGCAAAATTTATGTTCTGTAACCAGATACACAACCAGAATGTTTGCCTGCAAGAATGCCCAGGAGGGGTAAATAAGAAGGATTGTGAAAATGCCTGGAAGGATATTCTTTTTAAAAAATTGTGAATAATACTCATGGAGCCTTCTCCATTAGTGGCAGCAATATGAGGCAGCAGAAATGCCCTTGAAGATAAAAAGGTCCCTTGATATATCTTAGGGATAAGTTGCTATCAACAGGTGCAGAAAAAGCAGACATCAAAACTTCTTAGTGAAGCATGAATGTTGAAGGGACAGCTGAGTAACTGTGAAAAAGTAAAAATGAAAAAAGGAAATAAAGTAGGCGCTGCAGAAGCTCATGTCTGAGGCACTTCTTTTTAAATGCCTTGGTGGATTCAGGCCATCTAAACTCAGTGCTACTGCAAACCCAACTTTAATGCTGTTACTACTGTCTATCAGCCATGAAAATGGGTGAAAATGCCCAGCTGGCTCCCTTTTCATATATACACTATATATTTCCATATGCAGCAATGGTAATTCTGGATGAAATTCACACTAGCACAGAGGGCTGCACAAAGCCTAACTGCACTTAAGACTGATTTCAACCCTAAGGTATAGCTAGGGTTACCATATTTCCAGTTCCAAAAAAGAGGACACCTGTTGGGGGGACACCGCTCTCCCCACCCACAGCCCCTGGCCACACCAGTGCCCCTCACACCCAACCTGCAGCCCCCTGTCCCTGCTGCTGCCTCTCACTCCCGACCTTCAGCCCCTGCTTCCCGCAGCCTTGCTGAAGAAGGCCCTCAGCTGCCCCCATCCCAACCAAGCTGGAGCGCAGCAGCTCCGATTCATGCGGGCAACAGTGGAGCAAGTCTGGTCTCAACTCGGGCAGGAGGGAAGAAGGGCTGCCTGTGACACCCCCCACCTTGGGCTGCAGCTCCAGTGCCACACCAGGCAGCCTGACCATGCTCCCCCCCACCGGCAGTGTCTCCCAACTGGCCCGGCCCTGCTGCCACCAGCCTGGCCACGGAGCTCCCTACTGCCCTCAAAGGGCCCCCCACTCCCCCCGCTGTCATAGTGGGTGCAGCCATCCCCCTGCCCTGTCGCAGCCTCAGCGCCTGGACAGCTTCCCCCAGCACTGGCAGGCACTGCCCCCCCTCACATACCCATCCCCTCCACAAACACACCCCAAAGCCCCCCAGACAGTCCCCAAGCCCTGGCCCTCCAACCCCCCGTCCCGCCACAGACTTACCTGCATCCAGCTGCTGAGGCTGCTCCCGTGACCCTGTCAGGCTGCATGCCAGCCATGTGTGTGCACGCACAGACACACGTGCACCCGCTGCCTCTACTCGCCCTCCCCTTGCTTCCGCCAGCAGAGTGGAGCAAAATCCCGGACATTGGTTCATATCTCAAAAAACTGCCCAGACGGAGATTGGAGGGTCCAAAAAGAAGACACGTCTGGGAAAACCTGGACGTGTGGTAACCCTAAATATAGCCTATGTCAGATGTTAAATCTGTTTGGTACAGGCCCCCTTTAAAATGATCCTGAATATATAAATCCAGCGTACAATGGTTTGGACAGGTTCTTGGGCTGCTTCTCTGTTTTTCTTTCTTTCGTTGTTTTTATAATGGTGTGCAGTCTTGCTTTGTTTCTTTTTCTTTTTTTTTTTTAACAATCCTTTTAGAATTGAGCAGCAAATATCTAGCCAACGTACCAGATATAGCGTCCCAGATTGAAGCGGACTTGTCAAATTCAGAGACATACTTTGGTAATAAACTGTCACAAATCTTCTTTATGTCCTGATTGAAAAGGTTTAAGTCAAGGACACTAGTTTGTATTCTGGACATCATTTGATATTAAACATTTTGCTACGACTCTGTGGGCTAATTAAGAACCATCTCTTTTCACCAGGTCTGAACATGCAGGGTCAAATATGAATTTGATGGGACAAAAGTCAGACTTTTATTGCTCATGCAGTAAATCCTGAACAGCTGTGCTGGATAATTGATTCATAAGCATTCAATCTCGCAAGATAGTCACATGCAGAAACACAGGGTGCATATTCTCACTTGCAGTAAGCCACCATACTTGTATTGGTCAGTAGTGGAGTTTCTGTAACTCATAACAGCTGAAGCCTGGGTTCCTGGGGGGGTTTAGCTAAACATAAGAAAATTCAAACCAAAACAAAATGACATAAGGAATGATTTTACAATAAGGAGATATTACTAGGAAGAGCATTAGCCTTGATCACTATCCTTGAATAACATGGATTGCTTACCAAATCACTACATGCATTAAGGTTATGAGACTTCTGTATAAAGAAATGCAAGTAAATGATTACTTAATAGACAGTGTGACTAGGCAATGCTCAAAAATATGTACCAATATGTACCTGGGTTTTGCTGAATGAAAAGCACTGCTATGCAGAGCAAGTGACAATCCCTCCAAATAAAAAAAAAGGTGTAGTGAAAAGGAAGGAGTGAACCCAGAAGTGGAACTGAATCTCCAAGCACTGAAGTCATTGAAACAAACAACACTGTTGAGCACCTATAAATTACAAAAGCAAAGCTACTGGGGTTGCTTTTGAAAACTTCTGAAGCCCACCTCTGCATATACAGCTGTACTTTGCGTGCCAACAATGACAATTTATGCATAAATGGACTAAGACATGCTTCATGCATTGTTGCACATGCAAATACACAATTTTCATACAAGGTGACAGAAAAAACTTACATAAATTAGGGGAGATAGTGTAGACTAAGTTTTGTTTCCAGCCTTTGACTACTGCAGTCATGAAGATCAAGACAAGCCAACTTTAGCTTCAAACACTGCAGAGGCCTTCCAAAGGTCAGCAGACCACCAGAAGTCAAAACAGAATCAATTTCAGTTAATGAGCACCTTATCGCTGAAAAGAAAAAAATGGATTAGGAGCTATAACTTGCAACTGGGCAGCTGCCGGTCATTGCCTCATTTATGGGAAACAGACTGGGTGAAAGTGAAACTGACAATGTAGTTTCTTTTTCTTTTAAATGCAACTCTGTGCCATTCATAGCATATCTTTCTTTATCTTGGCAAACGTAGACAGTGCTATGATTACAGCTTTGTATTTTATTGCATATACCAGCTGTTCCACATTATGTGCTGAATTAGAACAGTTTCATTTCTTTCTTTAGTCCAGCTAAGGCTGGAAGGGACCATTGCAATCATCTGGTTTGGTCATAGGCCACTGTCACTCACAGGGCAATTGACATTCACCAGGATTTGTTTTTTGGTGACCCAGTGCCTCAAAGAGTGTTGGGAACACTACACTATTGAAGATGCCCTGCTGGGCAGTTGACAGCACAACACCCACTGCTCTGACAGAGAGAGCAAAAATATCTTCCACCACTTTCCAATTCCCACTCACGGTGCTAAAGCAGCAGTGCCCAAACTTCCAGATGAGTGGTAAGGGGGTTGATCTGCAGACCAGATCCTGTATGGAGTTGCTGTGTGGTGGATCCAGTGTGCTAGCTCAGCCCCATGCACCAGCCCAACTTTGTGTGCTAGCTTGACCTGGCACGCCAGCATGGCCCTGTGCACCTGGATCCAGCCATGGAGCAACCTCGTGCACCAGACCAACTTTGAGTTGGTAAGATCTAGTGCACAGGGCCGCATTTTCTGGCCCACAGGTCGAAAATATGGTAGTAGAGCAGTAACAATTCACCTTCCTACTCTCCCTGCCACCAAATGTCAAGACTCATGGGGAGCTCCATTGGATGGATCATACAGCTTCATGAGCTAGATCTGGTTTGTGGATGAGAGATTGAGCACTACTTCTCTAACCCATGCTTGGGGAGAACCAGAGCTATGCATCCTTTATCCAGGGACACCCATGCTGTAAAACTGGGCTAGCAAGGGTAAACTGAGGCCAGTTATTCATTTGCATACCGGCTAGAGAAGTTCGCAGTCCTCCGTTACGGCAGTTTGAAGTCCCTTTTGTGCCACCAAATCCAAGCAAGAGACAAAAATCTGGCCTATCAGTTTGCAGACATGACATAAAATTGAAGTCCCAATTATTAAAACCCTGCCTGCCAGCATTGTAAACATGGAAACTGGTGCATGAATGTGAACATTTATTCTTAACTGCATGCTCATGCAAGTTACCATTTCACAGCACAGCTGTTGTACTTGCCAGCCCCGTTCCCACTGCCGCCAGCTTCTGCGGGTGCCCCCCCAAGACTCAGGAGGCACCTGTAACCCATGTCTAGTCACATTTGGTGCAACGTGATGGAGCTTTCTAGGAGAACAGAATTGATACCTCTAAAGTCCTAGAGAAGTTAGAACTCATGTGATTTCCTTCTAACTATATAAAAGTTCCCTTTGCAAGTCCTATCGGACATGCCTTTATTTTCTGTCCTAGGTGTTGCCCTGTGCTGTTAAATACTGTCCAGTTTTCATCAGAGAAAGGACTGCACATCTCATTGGTGGGTAAAATAATAAAAAGTGGATAAAGTCAAATTTGCTAATGCACACACAGTTTATAAAGCATTTTAAGATCCATTTAAATTACTCAACAGAAAATAGAAGTGTAGCAGCACCAAGTATCAAGCTACTGATTTTTCTCATTTGGCCCAAATTCTTGGGGATGGCCAATGCTTTCTGGGAGATGCAAGATGCCCTCAATGCCCCTTAACGTCATTCAGAGTTAAAATTCTTAGTATCTTGCATGATCAAGCTTATACAAATGGAAGCTGCCTGGGACAGCCCCAAAAGTTACAGTAGCAGGGTTCAAAATGTACACACCAGCTGCTTAAAACACTGGGTGCTTTCTGCATCAAAACAAAGTTGCAGATCTTCAACATTGTGCGTCTGCTGTCAATTATGGTTCTTTTTCCATTTTTAAGTAATTTTACTAACATGAATTTGGGCAAATGAGCTTGGGGAAAAATCGTAATTCAAAAGAAACAAAAGTGAAAGTAGATGCAGGGTTTGAGTTCCCTTATCTTGTGATTTGTAAAACAGATTGGCATGCTCTTTTCTTATAAAGGCTGCATTTCCCAGCTACTAATAAGTGAAGCTTCATTTCTACTTCTGCAAATCTTGCCGACAGCTGCAAAATGCTGTGGTCTGATAACTTTGGGAAGATTCCCTTTCAACATCACCAACTCAGAAAAGGTGCTGTTAGTGTGCCCAGACTGCCTTCATTTCCTCAAACCACAGCAGAAAGTTTAAGTTTCTGTTCTTGTGTTCAGCATCCTGCACCTCTCTTGCAATATGTTAATTTATCTGCAGGTAAATACAGCATGGAGAGCACTACAGTAGTCCTCCAAGATGCCTCAGTTGTTCTCTCTTGTATCCACCA